TGAATTTGATGCACATCAGAATATTAAGATATGTATTAAGATCAAAATGTATGAATCTTAATATACATCTTGATGTTAATATGTTTACTAATATTTGAATAATAAATAATTATGACTGTTTATTTTTTAAATATTTGAATATATAAAATTTTTTATTTTAAAAATTAATAAATAAAAAATTCAAGTAAAATAATAATTAATTTAACATATTATTAATAATTTTTTAAAAAAAATTAGATGATAGTTGGTGATGGTGATGACTAATGATAGTGCTCGTGGATGCCGACTGGAGACAATGATTGGTGGTGGTTTTGATTGATGGTGGTGATAGTAGCTAGTGGTGATTGGTAATGATAGGTGTAGTTGAGGAAAGTGAGAGTCAATGGTGGTAGTTTATAATGGTGGACAGTGCCGGCTATGATTGATGATAGTGGCCGAGCTGGTTGGTGGTGGTAGTTGAGGTAAGTGGGTGTGATTATGCTTAAAGATGATGGTGGTGGTGGTAGTTAATAATGGTGCAGTGGTTGGTGGGGGTAGTCGATAATGATGGGATGGTGGTTGATACTAGTCGATAATGATAGCAGTGACGATTATAGTTGAGTATGGTGGTGGTTGAGTATAGTGGTAGGTAATAATGATGGGCAGTAACGGCAATAAGTATGAATGTGAATGATAGCATCTTAATGAAATTAAGAGTCCGTTTGGATTGGCTTATTTTAAGTGTTTTTAAGCCAATTTGTAGTGTTTGGATAAAGTAAAAAAAGTACGTTTAAGCACTTATTTTTAAGCTAAAATGACAAAAATAAGCTAAAAGCCAAAAGCTAGAAATCCTAACTTATGGCTTAAAAGCTATTTTGGCTTAAAAGCTACTTAAAATAAGTCCATCCAAACGGGCTCTAAGTCTTTGCTATAGATCTTAATTATTCAGACATTTTAAGTGGTTGTAAAATTACAAAATAAACTCACTAAATGAAATCGAAATAATTTTCAGATTAAATTAAACACACTTGATATTTAAGGTCTAAATAATTAAAATTCAGTCTTTCATAATGTGAACAAATAAGGCCGGCTAAAAAGTATTTTTACATTCCATATTGAAAGACAAAAGATTTTTTATTCTCATGGCCTGAATCCAACCTCCAATGAAAAATATTGGATAATTCTCTATCACTCTACCACACTTCTAAATAGTGTTAGAAGAAAACCTATATTAACTTAGAGATTAATGCATGCCAAAATGAATGTAGCCCCTCACTTTGTTTAAAAAAGAATGAACTTATTATTACTTGGGAAGTCAAATAAGATTTTATTTAATTTTTAACATTTTAAATTATTTTTTATTGTGAATTATAGTATTTTTTATATAATTTCTCAATATATAAATTTTAAACTTGAAGAATCTATGTCCGAATTCACACAAAAAATTAGTCAATTTGATCCTTCTCTGAAAAGCTCAAATTAAAACGGAGGGTGTATGTTTTTTTGTTTCCCCACAATGTTGACTTGTCTCCTTAAATGAAAAGTTAGTCTTTCAAAAGTTGAAAATATATTAAACTCGTCTTTACCATGCTCTCAACTCACGTTAGCTAAACGTGCGCCGAGTGTGGCTGACATGGCTAAGGGGCAAGGTAGAGAAAGAGGAAGACCAAGGAAGGTTCCTAAGATACCGATCTCTAACAATAGAAGCTCAGTTAGTAACAAATCGAAGGCCGGACAGGACATGCAGACACCGGAGCAACACGACGGAGTTGGAGAAGGGAAGGGTGAAATCGATCCATCAAGTAGCTCAGAAATAAGTAGAAAGCTGACTCTAAGCACTTCAATTCAAGCTAAGCAAAGTGAGATGAAAGATACTACTGGAATTGAAGGTAGCTCCAATGGAACAGTAACAGAGGTGGCGATGCAGGTCAAACAAAGCAAGGAGACTACAATTGAACAAAGAGAGGAAGCCAATGGACCCATAAATGAAGTGAATTCAGTGGCTAATGAGATGAACCATACAGATCGACGACCAGAGCACAAAATATGGTCAAATCTGTTTCAACAAAATCGAGTTGCTACTCATGGAATGGCTCTGAAATATGTGCCTCCTCAGATTATAGATGGACAAACTGTGGTACAACTTGAGATGCAAAATGTGAAGAAAGCAGAAGAGAGGTGGAGTGCGGTGATGATTGCTTATATTGTGGGTGAAAATCCAGGATATAATGCTATGGAAAGGTATATTGCTCAACACTGGCTTGATATTGCAGAACCAGATTTGTTTCTTCATGAAGATGGCTATTATGTGATAATGTTTCAAAGTATATCTGATATGCATTGAATTTTTTATGCTGGTCCTCATACTATACGAAATAGGCCAATAATTCTCAAGCCTTGGTCTCCAGATTTTGACATTAGCAAGGAATTCTTAACTGATATTCCTCTATGGGTGATTTTTCCAAAATTGCCAATGAGCTGTTGGGGAAATGAAGCTTTAAGTAAAATTGTTAGTGTTGTTGGGAAACCTCTGTTTGTTGATGAGTGTACCACTAAGCAAACAAGAATCTCTTATACAAGGATGCTTATTGAAGTAAATGTGACTAAAACTTTGCCTACTGAGAATATGGTGATGGATCCTAGAGGAAGAATGTTTCAACAGGATATAATCTATGAATGGAGGCCAGTGTATTGTGACAAATGCCAAGTTATAGGGCATATATGTCATACTCATCAAGGACTTAAGGAACAGAAGGAGATACAACCAAAAAGAAGAAGTGAGGCAAAGAAAGTTACCTATGAGTGGAGAACCAAAGGGCCTGTTACAAATGATGTAAGGAAGGTAGAACATATACAGGCAAAACCAGCTGATATAGAGGTGCCTCAAACAAATGGAGTGATAGATAGACCAACAGAAATTGACAAGGAAGGATCCCAGCAATGTTCACCAGAGCAAATGCAACAAGCAAGACAATATCAGTCAATTGGGGATAAAGGGAGCACTAGCACAGAGACAGTGGATAAGGGGAAAAACCAAGCCTTGGATTTTAGTCTTGAAAGCTTTCCCAGGTTAACTCCACAACCTAGTAAAAGCAGTGCAAAAAGAGGAACAGCAAGTACAAGTGGAAGCTCTACTTACCTCATGATAGAGGTGGGGGATCTAAAACTCAATAAATGAAGTGGATAATCCGGAATGTTAGGGGTATCAATAAATGGTATAAGAGGAAGGAGCTGAAGAATTATCTGAAAACCAAAAATATTAAACTAGCAGGGATCATTGAAATAAGAGTTAAGGAGAATAAGGCTAGAAAAGTTAGCCATCACATAGCACCTGGATGGGAGATGATTAATAACTACAATGCTGCAATAAATGGTAGAATATGGATTCTATGGGATTCGAACTACTATACAGTGAAGCTGATTAAAGTAGAAGCACAGGTTGTTCACTATTGTCACAAATGCTAGGAATGATGAAGAATATGCAGTCTCTATAGTCTATGGGTATAATACACTTGAAAAAAGGAGGCAATTATGGGATAATCTAAAAGAAATAGATCAAGTGACAACCATTCCTTGGATAATTGGGGGAGACTTTAATGCTGTTTTGCAATTGCAAGATAGGAAGCATGGAAATCTAGTTACAAAAGCTGAAACTCAAGACTTCAGCAATTGTATTCAAGAGTTAAAGCTGAATGAACTGAACTGGGAAGGTGACTATTATACTTGGTCCAACAAGCAGGATGGTGGAGACAGAATATGGAGCAGAATAGATAGGATCTTTGGAAACTATGAATGGATGATGCTATGGGGGCATATAGCAACTGTGTATAAGCTACCATTTATATCTGATCATGCTCCTATGTGTTTGACATTTAATGAGATACAGAGAAAAAGAAAAATTCCTTTTAAATTTTTTAATGTTTGGGCTGATCATGAGAGATTTATGTATGATGTACAACATATCTGGAACCAGAAGTTTCACAGGCAGAAAATGCAGAATGTGTGGATGAAACTCAAAGCATTGAGGATAGTATTGAAGAAACTTAATGTAAAGGAATTCAAGTTTATTAAAAAGAAGATAGAGCTGGGCAGAATTGAACCGGAACATATGTAGAAAATCATAGATGCTGATAGCAATTATGATATGTTAATGAAAGGAGGAGTTGATTCAGAATTTGGAGAAATGGAGTATGATTGAAGAAGGAGCTTTGAAACAAAAAGCCAGGGCAAAATGGATTCAATTGGGTGACTCTAATACTCGATATTTCTCTGTTGTAATAACAGAATGGAGCGAAAGAAAGCAAATTGTAGAGTTGCAAGCTATTAGTGGCAATAGGATAACTGATGCAGAAAGTATCCAAAGAGAGATAGTTGAATTCGATAAATCACTGATGGGAACTGCTGCCCAAACACTTTCTGCTATAGATAAAATAGTTATGTGTAATGGAGCTAAACTCACCCAACAACAAAGAATTGAGTTATGCAGAGATGTGACTATAGAAGAAATCTATGAAGGGTTGTGCTCTATAGGTGATGATAAAGCACCTGGTGTGGATGGCTACAATGCATTTTTCTTCAAGAAAGCTTGGCCTATTGTTAAAGATGAAGTCGTGGAAGCTGTTATGGATTTCTTCAAGTCTGGAAAGTTGTATAGAGCCATAAACTGTACAGCTATAACTTTGGTTCCCAAGGTTTCTAAGCCTAAAACTGTTAAAGAATTCAGACCTATAGCCTGTTGCATTGTCCTGTATAAACTGATATCCAAGGTTCTAGCAGCAAGGATACAAGGTGTTATTGGTGCAGTGATCAATGAAGCTCAAGCAGGATTCATACCTGGGAGGAAGATAGCAGATAATATCATATTGGCACATGAACTGGTGAAGGCTTATACTAGGAAAAACTTATCTCCTAGATGTATGATTAAGATAGATCTTCAAAAAGCATATGATTCTGTGGAGTGGCATTACATGAAGCAAGTGATGGAGGAACTAAGATTTCCCCAGCTGTTCATATCCTAGGTTATGGAGTGTGTCCAGACAGTTAACTACTCAATTGTAGTTAATGGTGAACCAACAAAACCTTTTAATGCTGCAAAAGGACTGAGACAGGGTGACCCTATGTCAGCATACTTATTTGCCATTGCAATGGAGTACCTATGCAGGAATCTGGCTAGTTTGAAGAAGGAGAAAGAGTTCAAATATCACCCTAGGTGTGCAAAGCTTGGGATCACTCACCTAAGCTTTGCAGATGACTTGCTACTATTTTGTAACGACCCGGCCGGTCGTTTTTAGAATTTAACGCCTCGATCCCCTATTAACTGCTTTCCCCGTGTTTGTTTCTGCTATTGTGAGTTGCCGGGAGGAATTATTTGGAGTTTCGGAGAGTTTTGGGACACTTACTCCCTAAATGAGAGCTCAAGTTTTGGAAATTTTGACCGTAGTCAGAACTGTATGAAGACGGCCTCGGAATGGAATTCCGATGGTTCCGTTAGCTCCGTTGGGTGATTTCGAGTTTAGGGGCATGTTCGGATTGTATTTTGGAGGTCCGTAGCTAATTTAGGCTTGAAATGCCGAAAGTTGAATTTTTGAAGTTTCCGGTTCGATAGTGAGATTTTGATCCGAGGGTCAGAATGGAATTCGGAAGTTGGAGTAGCTCCGTAGTGTTGAATGTGATATGTGTGCAAAATTTCAGGTCATTCGGACGAGGTTTGATAGACTTTTTGATTGAAAGCGTATTTTGGGAGTTTCGAAATTCTTAGGCTTGAATTCGATGCTAATTGGTTGATTTGATGTTGTTTGAGGTGTTTTGAGGATTGGTATAAGTTTCGATAGTGGTATATGACTTGTCTGTGCTTTTGGTTGAGGTCCCGGGGGCCTCGGGATGATTTCGGGTGGTTAACGGGAAGTTGGAACTTGGAGTTGGCGGCTGAAGTTCTTTGGGCTGCTGTCATAACCGCATATGCGGTTGAGAGGCCGCATATGTGACTCCCGCAGATGCTTAGTTAAGCCGCAGAAGCGGCCAGATGAGGAGAGGCTAGGAGTCGCAGGTGCGGAAGTGTCCATGCACCTGCGTGACCGCAGATGCGGTAAATAGGTTGCAGGTGCGGATTTTGGAATTAATGAGTTTTTGCAGGTGTGGTTGTCTTTCCTTAGAAGCGGGACCACACTTGACCATAAAAGCTGATTTGCTGGGCAGAAAAATAGGATTTCGAGGGTTTAGTTTCAAAAGTTAGAAAAATTGATTTGGAGCTCGGGAGAGGGCGATTCTGTGGGATTTTTGAAGAGAAGATCATTGGGTAACAATTCCTTATCCCTTTATAGTTGTATTCCATTAATCTATTGCTAGTTTTGTCATTTAATTTCGAATTGGAGATGAAAATTGGGGAAAAATTAGAAGAAAGTTCTTAGACCTAGAATTTGAGTTTTGACTGGGTATTTGACATTGGATTTGAATAATTTTGGTATGGTTATACTCGTGAGAGTATGAGGATTCTGAAAATGTAAATTTTACCCGATTCCGAGTCGGGGGCCCGGAGGGCGTTTTGGTCATTTTACCTAATTTCGCGTATTAGCTTAGAATTTAATTGTAGAATCAGTTACTTGAAGTGTTATTTACATTATGCAATTGAATTGAATAGATTTGGGCCATTTGGAATCGAGTACTCGTGGCAAGAACGTGGTTTCGGGTTGATTTTGAGCCGGTTCGAGGTAAGTGGCTTGTCTAACCTTGTGTGGGGGACATTCCCCTTTGGATTGGTACTGTGATAATTGAAATGCCTGGTACGTGAGGTGACGAGTGCGTACTTGTGCTAATTTTTGAAAATCCTGTTTTCGCTAAAGTAGCTTTAATTGTGTTTTTCCTTTCCTGCTTACATTACTTGAAATTTAAGCCTGCTGCTAGCTTAGAGGAGCATGTCTAATTGAGTTAATTGCTTTATCTGCTTAAACTGTTTTATTTGTATTATGTGAAGCATGCTAGGTTAGAATTACCTGTTTTACCTTGGTATGAAGTTGAGTTTAATTGAGTATTCTTCGTGTTATTGCTGTGTGTTTTACTTTGGGACTACGAGACGGTATCCCAGAAGATCCTCTGTACGTATTCTAGATTTGAACTGAAGTGCGGGATATCGAGAGATCCCCAACACATATATTGAGGATACCCAGAGATCCTCGGGATACCAAGAGATCCCTAGCATATATTGAGGATACCCAGAGATCCTCAGGATACCAAGAGATCCCTAGCGTATATTGAGGATACTAAGAGATCCTCGGGATACCAAGAGATCCCCGGTTATTATCTTTGTGAAGAGTGGTATTCCTTGTGATTATTTTTGTCTCTGTTTCAGTTGTCTTTATCTTTATTTTTCCTGTATTAAATTCTTACTGTTAGCTTTCAACTGTACTGTCTTATCTTATTCTGTTATATGTTATGTTTCATTTAATCTTAGTAGGGCCCTGACCTTCCTCGTCACTACCCGGTCGAGGTTAGGCTTGGCACTTACTGAGTACCGCTGTGGTGTACTCATGCCCTTCCTGCACATGTTTTTCATGTGTAGATCCAGGTACTACGACTCAGACTTATCACGCTTGAGGCAAGGCGCTTGTAGAGATTCCGAGGTATATCTGCCGCGTCCGCAGACCAAAGAGTCCCTTTCTACTCTTCCCTTAAGTATTAGCCCTTCTGTATTTCCTTTCTTTGTTAGATATTCTGGAGTTAGATACTTGTAGACATTCAAGAGCTTGTGATCATGAGATTCCGGGTTTTGGGAAGTGTTACTAGTTTCGAGAGTTGATATTGTGTATGCCGAGCGGCATTTCAAATACTGTTTTATTTCACTATTTCGGGTTTTAATTATTTATTCCGCAAATGTTATTTATTTTCCGCATTGTTAGGCTTACCTAGTCGTAGAGACTAGGTGCCGTCACGATGGTTCATGGAGGGCGAACCGGGGTCGTGACATATTTGCTAGAGGTGATTTGAAGACAGTGAAAGCAATCCAACAGAAGTTCAATCAGTTCACTCAAGTCTCAGGTTTACAAGCAAATCTTCGTAAAAGTGAAGCTTATTTTGGAGGTGTTCCTGTGGCAGAAAGGCAGCAAATCCTGCAGATGCTGGGACTTGCAAATAGTGAACTACCTTTCAAGTATCTAGGAGTTCCCGTATCCACAAAGAAACTGAGTTTAATGCAATGGCAACCTCTTATTGATAAAATGATTAAAAGGATTACTTCTTGGGCTGCTAAGACTCTATCATATGCAGGGAGAGTCCAGTTAGTCCAAAGCGTATTGTTTGGGATTCAGGCTTTTTGGGAAAAACTGTTTATCCTGCCAACAAAGGTGATTAAATTGGTAAAGAGGATATGCAGGTCCTATGTCTGGTCTGGGGCAAATGAGATCACAAAGAAGGCTTTGATAACCTGGGATAAAGTTTGTTTACCCAAGGCAGGAGGTAGACTTAATATAGTTAATCTGAAATTGTGGAACAAGGCAGCTATTGCCAAAACCTGCTGGGATCTAGCTCATAAATAAGACAAGTTGTGGATCCGCTGGATTCATACTTACTATATCAAAAATCAACAAATGAGTACAATGTCAATACCTCAGCAAGCATGTTGGATGGTAAGAAAAGTAATTGAGGCGCATAGTGTACTGGAAGCTGGGCAGTTTTTATCAAACTAGAAAAAAAGCATGATTAGACAAATATACCTTCATTTGCTTGGTGACTACAGAAGGATGGAATGGAAGCCATTGATGTTTCACAATGCAGCAAGACCAAAGGCAAAGTTTATAGTGTGGCTCATGGTACAGGGAAGATTGATGACATGCAACAGGCTAGCAAACTGGAAGATTAATGTTGATACAGAATGTGCAATGTGCAGAAAAGAAGTGGAAACAAGAGACCATTTGTTTGGGCAGTGTGAATATATTAATCAAGTATGGAGTAAAATGTGTAGCTGGCTTGGTAGGAAATTTCTGGGAGGTGGCAATTGGCAGCAATTCCTAAAACGGTCAATTTCTGAAGCTAAAGGGAAAACTCAGCATGCGCAGGTGTTTAGAATGATATATGCAGAAGTAGCTTACCACATATGGATAGAGAGAAATAGACGTATCTTTGAGAAGAAAAACATAACATGGGAGCAGATTTCAAAGGAAATAGCCTATATAGTTAGTGTTAGAAACAAATCTTTTGTGTATAGCCTATATTTCTAGGTAGTATAGTAAGATGAGTATAGAGAAGAATAGCAAGCTGTGTTAGCTATGCTATAGTTTTGTAATTGCTACTTGGTGATTAATAAAATAATTTAGTTAGCAAAAAAGAAAAGTTAGTCTTTCTTCTGAAATTCAGATTTCTTTCATAAATCTTTAATTTAATATATATGTCTAATTTTTTCTAGGATCTTTATTTGATGTTTCTTTTTGAATTTTGAAGTGTTATTCTATGTATTTTATATATCCAACTCAATGGTTAGTATTTTTAATGTTTAGATTTTTTTTAAAAAAATTGGACTACTCATACAAGCATAAATAATTGGACCAGAATGGCTGTGATAAAATTTTCTTTTCTTTTGTCTCTAATAACGTTCATGGACACGCAGAATTTCTTGCTAAATTCTATTTGTTGACTAGGATACAACATATGTTTGGGTTACTGACTTCGTTTGGCATGAGAAAAGAAATGACAAGGAAAAAATAAATAAAAAAGGCAAACTGACAAGGAAAAGCACCTAACCGCTACTTCTCTCTTGGCCAGTGGTGATGGAGAAACTTCCAATAGGAGAACATAGCCATTTATAAGTACACAAGTATTATACTATAAAGTAAGGAAACAAATGAAAAGAATTTTTAGGTCCTACCATCAAAGAGTAACTCATAACATACAAAGAATAAAGAGGAACCTTTGTCTAACAAATACATTACACAGATAGTGTAGTAAATAAAACGATATATCCATTGAAATTTTGTTTCAGTCTCAAATTAATATTTATTTTATATAATAATGTCGGCATATATTACATATATCCACATTGATTTTTCTTTTGAAAATATTTACACAAATAGATAAGGAAAATATTTTATGAAACGATGTTGTATGATACCCTTTATTCTCCAGCCCTGAATCCACCGCTAAAGAAGAAGCAAAGCAAAAGGCAATACGCTTTAGCATAATAATTAATATCAAGAAATGACAAGAAATAGGTGATGTTAAAAAATCAAAATTTCAGATCTTTTCTTAATAATTGGAGGTTTCTTTTGTAGTTAGGGATATTATATCTTTTATAATAAAATATGAAAAAAGAAAATTTTGACTAAGCCATATGTCACAAGTCAAAGTTGTATGTTTTAGGATTTGACCACTATTGTTCTTGTTGTCCATATTCTAAGGATATATATATCATCACAAACAAAGAGAGGATTCAAATTGGATAGCATGTGGTCCAACAAATAAAAGAGTTTGAAAACCCAAGTTTTACACTAATGATATTGTCCCTACCAAATTCCACCCCATGTTCATCCTTGAAAATTAAAAAGGTTTGACACAGATAGAGAGAAACATTAAAAAAAAAAAGCAAAAACAAAAAGAAATCATTCCTTTTCCTAAGTGCATGAATTGGCCCTTCCTCACCAGAGTCCGGAACCAAAATGTTGTTATTTTGGACTCAAAAAACACAAATAGGTATAAAAAAAAAAGTGACCATAATATATATAACGCCAGAAAACCCGGCGCTATATAATAACGGTAACTGCACCGTTAATGTATAGCGCCAGGTTTTCTGGCGTTATATACTGACACAGTGATATAGCGCCAGAAAATCTGGCGTTATATCCCTCAATAAAAAACCCTCCATCTTCTTCACCCGTCTTCTTCTTCACCATTATTTTAGTCCTCTATCCAAAAACCTGGTCCCCCCCCACTGTCCGCCATTATAAAAAATAAAAAAAAAATTTGGGTCCCCCCGGCACATAAAACTTGAAGAACGTAGGTCCCACACTCGAGTAGAGCTTTTTGTTATTGTTGATTCACGCTTTCGGATTCAAAAATTCGATCTATTTACTTTTCGAAAATTCTAAATCGAGGTATTTCGATTTATTTTAAGTTGAAACTTTTATAATAATGCATATTATTTGATTTATATGTGTTCTATTTCGGTTTGTGTTTTTTTTCGAAATTAGCATCTTAAATTTATCCGGATTTAATTTTACTGTTTTATATAAAAATATAAATTTGTCAAATAAATTTGTCTGTTAATATTCTCATTTATATATATGTGCTTTCATGCCGTTTTGTGTTTTATTTGCAATTAAATTTATTTGCTGTTTATGTTTAGTTTAGCTTATTTTTTAGCGTAGTAAAATCTAGACCTTTTTAGCGTAGTAAAACGTAGACCCTTTTAGCGTAGTAAAATTTAGAGCCTTGTAGCGTAGTAATGTGTAGTATTTTAGCTTAGAATTCCTTTTGTTTTAGTATCTTATACTGGTATTTCGATCCTCAAAATATGGATATATATATATATATATACAATTGAGTTATTAAAAATATGAATTTCAATTATAAAAAAAAAAATATAGCCGCTGGCCTCAAAAATATCGAGCCCGGAAGCCATACGTAAGTAATTTGTACAATTAAATTATTAAAAAAATATGAATTTAAATTATAAAAAAATATATATGACTATAAATGATAGTTTGGTGCCACTGGGCCTCAAAATATCGAGCCCGGAACCCATGGGTAAGTAATTTATACAATTAAGTTATTAATAAATATGAATTTCAATTATAAAAAAAACATATAGCCGTTGTGCCTCAAAATATCGAGCCCGGAACCCATACGTAAGTAATTTGTACAATTAAGTTATTAAAAAATATGAATTTAAATTATAAAAAAAATATATGATTATTAATGATAGTTTGGTGCCACTGGGCCTCAAAATATCGAGCTCGGAACCCATACGTAAGTAATTTGTACAATTAAATTATTAAAAAATATGAATTTAAATTATAAAAAAACATATAGCCGTTGGGCCTCAAAATATCGAGCCCGGAACCCATACGTAAGTAATTTGTACAATTAAGTTATTAAAAAATATGAACTTAAATTATAAATTAAATTATAAAAAAAATATATGACTATTATTGATAGTTTGGTACCACTGGGCCTCAAAATATCGAGCCCGGAACCCATATGTAAGTAATTTGTACAATTAAGTTATTAAAAAATATGAATTTAAATTATAAAAAAAATACATAATTATTAATGATAATTTGTACAATTAAGTTATTAAAAATTATGTCAGCTGGTCAGCTTTTTCAGTTCGACAAGACAACACACACATAACGCCTGGTATAATGGCGCTATATTTTGCGTGTTAAATATCATGATGTTGACAAGACTACTTTATGTCAGCTGGTCAGCTTTTTCAGTTCGACAAGACAACACACACATAACGCCAGGTATAATGGCGCTATATTTAGCGTTTAATCAATGAATGTTAATAAGACTACTTTATGCCAGTTGATCAGCTTTTTCAGTTCGACAAGACAACACACACATACTAAAATGGAAATTCCGTGTTACATTTAAATATTCCTAGAGGAAAAAATAACGAAAAAGAAAAAAGGGTGAAATAAGTGGACCGATATTTCTTCCATTATCTAGAATCAAACCAAATATTGTGAAAGTTGAATTATGTTAATGTCAAAGCATCTTTATTTTCTTATATATAGAAGAGTGGTATATGTGCTGGACTTGGAAAAAAATTATTTTATTACAAGCATAATTTTATTTCATAAATCAGGCAACATTACACATATTAACTAATTATTACAACATCAACTCATGGGTAGTTAGGTACCATAGAAGAAACCCACCCCGAGCTTGATTACTGTTGCCACCCAAAGGACATTTTCTACGTCGTGTCCTGTTTGCGAGCATATACCACATTTTCGCGCATAAACTGTATCACTAACATCCATTTGTTCCGTATACGCGTTCTCTTCTGCACCTGTATTTTACGCAAATAGGACTTGTTACACACCATTTTAAATGGTTCAGGAGCCAATAATGCTCAGCACCCAGTGGCTGCAACTGACCACATATATGTTGTTTAGGTACTGGAAACACTATATGTCGATCAACATAGTTGGTTGCACCTAAACCAACTTGTTGAAAGCACTTGATGGCATGTGAGCAAGGCATGTGGTAGATGAACCATTTTCCACAAGAGCATAACCTTGCAGATTCATTTACAGTATGCACATTATTACCCCGATTTGATGGATAGCGATGCGAACTTCAAAAACATTTCTTTCATTATCATACTGCAAAAATGAATGCCAATGTGCTCGTCGCTGTATTCTCAATCTCGTCAATCGGCACTGGCTCAAATTCAACACCCCTTTCCATCAATGAACGTTGCAGCCGAGACCTTTCAACAAACCTCTCCGCCATTTGCTTGAGAAGACATCCGCACCCTGGCGTACAGGCAATCCTCTGCCGTACTTCAAATAAACCCGTTGAAAGACTCTGACACATTTGTAGTCCAGAGTTCCCCATCGTCTGCCACCATCCGCATGCAAAGTCCACTTTTTTCGGGTCAATGGTCCGCAATTACCACGATAGGCTGCCTCGTCTCTGCTGAATATTTCCATGTGCCCTTCCGGAATTATGTTATTGGTGGTCCTGTTGCTCCATCCACAATCAAAATCATGCAGATCCTTATGGGACTATGCCTTCTGGAAATTGGCTTTCAAATGCCTAACACAAGTAACAAGTAGGCATAAGGTTCTTGCCATGCAGGCAAGTTCTCACAGAACTTAAGAAACCACCGTGCCGATCAGATATTAGACAGATACCGAACGCTGTTTTCACAACGTGCTCTTTCATATGGTTCAAAAACAACGTCCACGTCTCTTGGCTTTCATTGGCACAATAGAAAAGCTAGAGGAAATATCTGTCCATTGAGCATCTACTGCCACGGCTAATAACAGCTTGATATCGTACTTTCCATAGACATGAGTGCCGTCTATGGATATTACGGGGCGACAATGCGAAAAACCATCAATTGCTGGTATAAAACGCCCAGAACACGTAATTGAATATATATTCTGGTTACCTGCACTTTCGCTCAAGCTTCCACTCAACAACCGTCCCTGGTTAAAATGCTGTAGTGCAGCCATGTAACCTAGGAGAGATCTGCAAATGACTTATCCCAGTTACCATACACTATTTCAAACGCTCATTTGCACCCGAGAATGCCTTTCTTTTAGTAATGGTATGGCCATGTTCCTGCTGACTGATGTAATGCACTCTTTGATTATATACTTTATGGACTGTTCGATGTGTGGAATAAGAACAAGAGAAATCAAGTCAATATCCAAGTTGAAGTGATTCCCGTTGAATGTGTCCATTTCGCATGTGTGGGTGGGAATGTATTTACCCACTTTCCACATACCTGTCTCTCTCTTGGTCGCAGCAACATCCCAATTACATGGCCAAAACCACCTGCGACAAACAACCTTGTTACCGTCGGACTTGACTCCCATACATGCATCTCATGACACTCTTTTACGTTGTGCATTTAAACGTTTGCTTAGGCGCGCTTTATCAGGAAAAAGCATCCCCTTTGCAAGCACCGTTGGTCTAGACTCATCCCACATTGCTGTCCGGATTTCATAAAAATCCCTTGTGAGAGCTTCCACATCCGGCACGGTTGGCAAGTTATCAATGTAAGGAATCTCTCTTGAATGAAACGGCACTTCGGACTCATACACTCTTCGTCTAGGGGGGTCTCTCTTCAAATCAGGTCCTTCCTCCTCATTCTCTGCATCACCATCCTCACGAGCAAAGGATGTCTCATCCCCGGATTCATCCGCATTGTTATCGTAATCACTGTTCTGTTCCTCACTCTGTGCATCTGCCAGGTCCCGATGTAATACATCATTTTCGGGCAATTGAGTGAGTTCAACTTGCTCGTTTTCACTGCACAACCAACAAAAATATAAGCTACTAAATTAATAAATGATTTCCATATTTTGCGTAAATCACTTCACTTACAAGTCGTAATGTGATAAAATTCCATGATGGACGTTATCAATTAGGTGATGACTACCGGATGGGCCACTTGTAAAATTCATATCCGGCCGGTACCCCCTATTAAATATGTGAGCGTTAATACAAATTCAATACAACAAAAATATACATAATTAACACAAATGAAAATTAAAATTTACCACTCGTCTTGTGAGTTATGGAAAGTAGGGTATAAATTATTTTCTCGCTGCTCATTCACCGGCGGTGATAAGTTTAAATCAAAGATAACTCTTTCATCCGGAACTTGTCCGGCAAAAACTGTTCCAGAATAACCCCCCGATGACTGGGGGTTATCTCTACTACGCACAACCTCATTTTTTGGAACGTCTTCGACCTTCACGTACATCTCCAACATTGTGATTACAAGAAAATCCCGACATTCGTCCGGAGTCCTCAAAAAATCACTCAAAGTTTCATCATCGTCGATGTTAAACTCCGAGTAAAAAGCAACCCCTTGTGGAGTGACGGAATAAGGATATCTTCCGGTTACTTTAAATATCACCGAACGTTTCCTCACACTCATTTTTTTGCATAACAACGATATCAATGTATCGTCCTCCATTGTCAGTGGCAATTTAACATGACACTTAGCAGGTAAACTGTAGCCCACGGAGTTATTATCCATCACAACCTCACCACCCCAATATAATGAAACTCTTATCCTACGCTCTTCAGACATAATAAAAAAATGCTGGAGAATTTAACAACAACAGACGTTTCAACAAGAGTTAAAAAAATGTTTGAATGCATTTCTATGCGATTCTAACCTCTTTATATAGAAAATGGAGAGCCGGGAATTTTTTTTTTTTTTTTACATATACAGCGCCAAATAAGTTGGCACTATACGCTTTAGAATTATTGTACTCTACTATTATTACTGGGGTCAGGAAAAAAGGATATAACGCTAGGTTTTCTGGCGCTATATCACTGTGTCAGTATATAACGCCAGAAAACCTGGCGCTATACATTAACGGTGCAGTTACCGTTATTATATAGCGCCAGATTTTCTGGCGTTATATATATTATGGTCACTTTTTTTTTTACACCTATTTGTATCTTTTGAGTCCAAAATAACAACATTTTGGTTCCGAACTCTCCTCACCACACCATCATCAAACATGTTGAGAAAAGTTGGGGCAAAAGGGAGGCTAAAAGTGGGAAGTGTAATGCATAATGTCAATGCACAAGCAAGATAAGGAACATAATGAAGTTTAGCTCAATCCCTTTATGAAAGATGATTATTATGATGCGTGAGAATCAATCTTTGGATTATCTTTTAAGAGCTACTAGTCTTAGTTTTCTTTTTATAACCGTGTTCAGGTTAACTTGTGAGTATTTTAGTGGTACATGTTATCTCACACCAAAGTAAGTATTAGGTAATTCCGTCCATAACGACTTATAAATATAAAAAATTACCTAATATTTTCGTCCATACTAAAATTTTAGTCAAATATTATTATTTTCAACCTAGTTCATCGATAACTAGTACACATCTTGAGTGCACTATTAGGGTTAATCTTGGAGAACCACTAATTAAATTTTTTGTGGGTATGGGAATAGGGATAGACCTGAAAAAGTATTCTTGAGATATGAAATTATTTAATTATTATAACTAATGTGGAGTCAATAAAGTTATGTTCTGTCATTGCCTGCTGTGCTATGTATATTTTTTAGAATGAAACTTTTTAGAACTTTAAAAAGAGTTCTTAGAGTGGTCTAATGTAACCAAAGGGTGTAGAAGTTTCCATTTTCTCACTTTTATATTTGCTTTTTCTCATGTTAAATAGTAAAAAGAAACCCTATGACTTTTAGTAGCCCTTTTCATCATATGGAGTTTAGAAGAGAACCTAGGATAGAATCTATGTAGAGGGCATAATACCCGCTAAAGAATTTAATCAAGTTTTATCATCTTGTTTAATCTTATCTTATCATTATAGAGGGATTAAATCATGAAACAATTTGATGAACAAAATCACGCCAAAATTGGAGGCTATATTGTCTCATATGCTGATTACTTCTCTTTCTATTGTATAATCGTTTTCAAGGCCTGCAATTATCTTCAAGATATGATGTATGAGCACTAAACTTATCGCATTATCACATTTAATCAATGGAAAGACGACGACAATTATGTCGATAAGCACAATATTTTTATTTTTCTTATACTCACTCCGTTCCATGATTTTTTTATCTCTTTATTTTTGTCTAAAATAAGTGTTTTTTTATATAATCAAGAAAGAATTAATTTTATTACTCCAAAATTTGTCCTTATTTACATATCTCAATTTGTCAAGTTAACAATATGCAAATTTTAATTAAGAGTGATTTAGTCAAAATACCTTTTTTCTCTAAGGAATTAGTTATTTTTTTAAAGAGCGTGCTAAAAATTGAAAAATAACCTTTTATAAATCGGACGGAGTATTAATTAAGTGTTGATTGGGAATCTTATTGATTGATGGATTAAAAGCGTTGTTGTATGTTGATTAAGTAACAAAAAATGAATATGGAGTGAAATTAAGACTTTTTCTTTTTCCCACTTCATTTGACTAAGTGAAATTCAACCATAGAAAGAAAAAGGGCAAGAAATGCTGAACACTTTACTAAGTTAAAGTACTGAACTGAGTCAAAAGGAACACCAAAAGTATATTCATTCATTACACTAATACCATAACACTATACACAAAGATTGCATAGTTTCAAGAAATCATAATAGATATATACCCTTCTTTAGTAATGTTTGTGTACCTTATTTTTTTTTCCTCCTTTTCCCCTTTGTATGAAATTCCACCTGCATCATACTCTCATTCTGAACTTCACTCGGGAAACCACATGAACTAAATTCCAACTTCCTCACCCCTACCCCCACCCCTACCCTACCCTCTTCATCCCTCCCCCCCCCCACCCCCCTTTTCTCTCTGCAATAACTACTGTTCTGCTTCCTTACTGGTACTTATTATCAACAGAAGTATTCCATTATTCCGATATCTCAGTTTCCTTTTCCTCTCTCTCTCTTTCTACATGCAAAGAAGCCTTTTTGCTCATTTCTTGTTCTTTTTGCTCATTTCTTGAAGTTATGGAAGAAACTGAAGAGTCAAATAATAGAAGCAAGAAATGCAACTCTAAACCAACAAGTGTGAAAGGGTGTGTTAATTATAATAATAATAATAATGCTCATAATAATAGTAATCGGTATATTGCTTTTGGTTTTCGTAGTAATCAGAATCAATACCAAACATACCCAGCTCTACTTCCTCTGCCTCCTGCAATTCCTATGCAAGTGGCTGTTGCTCCACCTTTCCCTCAAAATCACAACTTTACATCAACAACCCTTTTGCAGAATCAGCCATTTCTTGCCACCCCTTCTGATTCCAAACTCCGATACTTTACAGGTAAATTCACCTTCTTTCAAACCCCTTTTCAGTAAGTGGAGATTTTTCTGCAGAAAGTGCAAGTGTTGGAGCATAATTAGACTTTGTATTATATGCCAAAGTATGAAAATAATAGCTCTCTGTTACTTCTTTATTGGTGGAGTTTTACTTTTTTCTTACTTTGTTCAAAGTTTATTTGAATCCATTCTTTGGTTAGTATTAAAGGAGCACTTCATTACATTAACATTCTGTTTTTTATCTTTTCCTTTTTTGATGTCACTCACTAAACAGAATAATTGTTGAAAAGATCAGTTTTTTTCTGCAGAAAGTAGAAGGATTTGAGCCTGTTTAGACTTCTTATTTACAGTAATATATGCAAAAGCATGTAAACAAGTAGCCTTGTCTTCTTTATTAGTATTTCATGTTCTGTTTTGTTCACAGTTTATTACCAAGAATGAAACTTTCTTTTGACATTAACAGTGTGTTCACTCATTAAACAGCCTCAAAAGTGCTGCAAAGGCAAAATGATGTGTCCAAACAGAAGGATTTATTGAGGGTCAAGACTGCTACCACTCCAGAATCTTTTGTGGTGGCAAGAAGACCTGATTCTGGTGGTGTAGAAGGACAAGTAATCTCTCTTCTTGCTAATCATTTCCTTGTCAAATTTGATCCTTTACAGAAGATTTTCCACTATGATGTTGAAATTTCACCTCATCCATCTAAGGAAGTTGCTAGGTTAATCAAACAAAAACTTGTAGAGGAACATTCTCTTGTGTTATCAGGTGCTCTTCCTGTTTTTGATGGTGGAAGAACTATATATAGCCCTATTGAATTTCAAAATAATAAGATTGAATGTTACATTAGCCTACCAATTCCTAGTAGTGGCAACAAGTTGCAGATAGAGGGACAGCAGATTAAGCTTTTCCGCGTTAACATTAAACTAATATCTAAATTTGATGGGAAAGAACTAAGTAGCTTCTTGAATAAAGAAGGGGATGGTTGGAGTCCACTTCCTCAGGAATATCTTCATGCATTAGATGTTGTGTTGCGCGAAAGTCCGACGGACAAGTGTATAACAGCGGGGAGATCCTTTTACTCGAGTTGTATGGGAGGAGAAAAAGATATTGGTGGCGGAGCGGTGGCGCTAAGGGGGTTCTTTCAGAGTCTTAGACCAACTCAACAAGGGCTTGCTCTCAATGTTGATTTCTCAGTGACTGCTTTCCATGAGAGTATTGGAGTGATCCCTTACTTGGAAAAGCGCCTCGACTTTCTCCGCGGCATTTCTCAGAGGAAAACGAGAGGCTTGACGAATGAAGAGAAGAAAGAGGTAGAGAAGGCATTAAAGAATATAAGGGTGTTTGTTTGTCACAGAGAGACGGTTCAGAGATATCGTATTTGCAGCTTAACTGAGGAAGTCACGGAGAACCTCTGCTTTCAGGATAGGGATGGAAAAATTCTAAGAATAGTAAACTACTTCAAGGATCATTATAACTATGACATACAATATAGGAACTTGCCGTGCTTGCAGATTAGCAGAAGTAAACCTTGTTATCTTCCTATGGAACTTTGTATGATTTGTGAAGGACAAAAGTTTCTTGGGAAGCTTTCTGATGATCAGACTGCAAGAATACTCAAAATGGGATGTCAAAGGCCAAGGGAAAGAAAGGCGATTATAGATGGAATCGTGACAGGATCGGTTGGACCAACAAGGTAATTTCTGCTGCATGTTACCTCCTTTTTGTATTGCTTATATTTTTCTTTTTGATAGTGCCTTAGTATCAGATTGGTTCTTTTCTTGACAGTGGAAATCACGCTAGGGACTTCAAACTCCAAATCTCAAGAGAAATGACTCCATTGTATGGGAGAATTCTTCAGCCTCCTAAGCTTAAACTAGGGGACCGCGGTCTGGTTAGAGATCTTATTCCTTCCCGTCATGATAGACAGTGGAATCTTTTGGACAGCCATGTATTCGAAGGTACTCGAATTGAGAGATGGGCGCTAATGAGTTTTGGTGGGACCTCTGATCAGAAGTCCAACATACCAAAATTCATAAACCAGTTATGTCAAAGGTGTGAGCAATTGGGAATTTTCCTTAACAAGAATACAGTACTTAACCCCCAGTTTGAACCCATGAATTTGCTCAACAATGTAAAACACCTAGAAACCAAACTCAAGAAGCTACAAAGAGCTTCATTTAGCAATCTCCAACTTGTTATTTGTGTGATGGAGAAAAAACACAAAGGATATGCCGACTTGAAAAGAATCGCTGAGACAAACATCGGGGTTGTAACCCAATGCTGTTTGTACCCAAACCTTGGCAAACATAGCTCACAGTTTTTGGCAAATTTGGCTCTCAAGATCAATGCCAAAGTTGGGGGATGCACAGTTGCATTGTACAATTCATTGCCTTCTCAAATACCACGGCTCTTCAAACACGATGGTCCGGTTATTTTTATGGGTGCGGACGTCACTCATCCACACCCACTTGATGATTCTAGCCCCTCGGTTGCTGCTATAGTTGGTAATGTGAATTGGCCAGCAGCCAACAAGTATGTCTCCAGAATGAGGTCCCAAACACATAGGCAGGAGATCATTCAAGATCTCAGCACAATGATCGGGGAAATTCTTGATGATTTCTACGAGGAGCTTCTAAAACTCCCCGAGCGAATAATCTTCTTCAGGGATGGAGTAAGTGAAACTCAGTTCTTGAAAGTACTTAAAGAAGAGCTACAAGCAATTCGTGTAGCATGTTCGAGATTTCCAGGTTACAAACCTCCCATTACTTTCGTGGTCGTTCAGAAAAGGCATCATACTCGGCTATTTCCATGTGAACTTGATCCGTCGTCAACTAGAAACCAGTTCTTTAATGAAAACATCCCACCAGGTACAGTTGTCGATAGTGTGATCACACATCCAAGAGAATTTGACTTCTATCTCTGCAGTCATTGGGGTGTAAAAGGAACAAGCAGGCCAATTCATTACCATGTTTTATGGGATGAAAACCAGTTCACTTCTGATGAACTACAAAAGTTGGTTTACAACCTTTGCTACACATTTGTGAGATGCACCAAGCCTATTTCACTGGTGCCTCCAGCTTACTATGCCCATCTTGCTGCATACAGAGGCAGACTATATCTCGAGCGTTCGGACTCGGCTACTCTAACAAGAAGTTCTAACATCTCTCGACCTGCACCACCAAAGACAACTCCTTTACCTAAACTCACTGAGAACATTAAAAAGCTTATGTTTTACTGCTGAACTTATGGCAACTGCACATAGTTCTTTCTAGCTAATCTTCTTTATTGACAGTTTAGTTGTTTGATCTAATGTAGTTTTTATACAGTAGCTCTTTCTAGCTAGATGACTGTTTATTAATTTTGATCTCATGTTAATTTTTATGCTGGCTAAATAATTGAATCTTCCCATGTATCATTGAGTTAATTCCAGAAAGTTTACTAGAATTGGTCATGAGATTTGGCTTTGTAGTTCCTTTCAATTGTTATTTCAGCTACATGACCCTTCTCAAATAATAACACTAACAACAACATACTCAGTATTATCCCACACTGTGGGGTCCGTGGAGGGTAGTGTGTACGCAGATCTTACCCCTACTTTGTGAGGATAGAGAGGATGTTTCTTATACTCTCGGCTCAGGAAAGCATAAGCACCACATTAATGAAAATATAGATAAGAAGGGACAACACCAAAAAGCCATATAAAGCAGAATAAAAACAACGGTTAGTCATAAAAATCTGCTACCAACAGAATGCGAGACTGCGTACCAATACTACTGGTATAAACACTCTAGACTACCTACCGTACTACCCTAATCCTCGACCTTCACACCTTCTTATCAAGGGTCATGGTCCTCGGTCAGCTGAAGCTGCGACATGTTTGGCCTAATCACCTCTCCCACTTCTTCTTCGGCCTACCTCTACCTCTCCGAAGGCCCTCCAATGTCAGCCTCTCATACATCCTCACCAGGGCGTGTGTGCTCCTCCTCACATGACTAAACCACCTAAGTCGCGCTTCCTGCATCTTGTCCTCAATAGGGGCCACACCCACCTTATCGCGAATAACCTTATTCCTAATCCTATCTAACCTGGTGTGTCCGCACATCCATCTCAATATCCTCATCTCTGCTACCTTCATCTTCTGGACATGAGCGATCTTGATTGGCCTACACTCAGCCCCACACAACATAGTCGGTCTGACCACCACTCTGTAGAACATATCTTTAAGTTTCGGTGGCACATTCTTGTCACACACAACACCGAAAGCGAGTCTCCAAAACAATAACACTAGAGATTTCTAAATAAAACACCAGAGATATTTGTATGGTCATATTCTTCTAGCATTCAAATTATATTGTGGGTTTGTAATTGTTTTCATTCATTTCTCTAACAAGGGTACATCTAGGGTCACTTATGCCTGTTTTTAACTTAAATATTATATAAATAAATAAATAAATTAGAATTAGATATATGTTTCAGAGCTAGCCCTTAACTCAAAATTTATAACGTCTACATTATATATGTTGCTATGCAATATTATACAAGCTTTAGGATCAGTGTATGGACGTTGGACACTCTAACCGAATAATTTAATGCTTTCCTTGGACATGCAACTTTAGAACATGAATTGTCACGTAAAGGAATAAACTATAACCTTTAAGCTGATAGATAAAAGGAGGGCCTAACCTAAGAATATACGACCTAAGACATACTACAACGATAGGTCACATTAGAGATTGAAAAATAAAGCAGTATTATATAGGAATTAGGATCTAGGGGTAATAGGGAAAAATAATAGTAGTAGTAGTAAAGAAAACTTAGAAAAGCTGGGGAAATTCTTGGAAGGATGTTAGAGATAAAGCAGAACAAAGGTAATTGTCTAAAAGCTGAAGGTATATACACTGCTAATTAATGTAATCTCTGATTTTTTGTCAGAGGTGTTCTGCACTTATGCATGATAATTAAATTAGAGAGATACGAATTACAAGAAGAACAAAAAAAAATCTTTTATTTTTTCTTATCTCAAGTTTTAAAAATCATAAGATTTAATATTAATATTACACAAAATGTTATACATATAGTATAACATTATAAATCTTTCTTGAACTTCTTTCTCAATTTAAAAAAAAAATCCTCTTATACCACCAATATTAAGGCAAAGGGGAAGGGAAAAAAAGAAAGAAATTAAAAGGAAATGCTGACTGTTGCAAGAAATGTACAGTACAGAGGAGAGAGGGAATGCATACTATAGTGTCAGTGGAAAAGAATAAATGAAGAGAGAAAAGGTAGGGTATTTCCTTCACAGTTAGACAGGGAGAGTGAAAGGGGGTGGGAAAGAAACAAAACAAAAAGCTAAGAAAAGATAGGATTCGAAGTAAAAGGCACAAAGGGTCTGACTTTCGACTTCCCTTTTTGTCTTTGTTACTTTTTTTTCCCTTTTCTCTTTCTTTCTACTTGTAACAGTGCATTCATGTGTTTCTGATCTGTTATTATAGTAACGCCTTCTCTCTCTTGCCCGCAAACTTACTTTTCTGTGACTTGAAAGTACTGCACAATGGCCACAGGAAGGTAACAGAGCGATTTTGACAGTTGGTGGGGATTTTTCATTCACAGTACGCCAGGACCATTATTTTTCTTGCTTTATTCACAATGCTGCAAATTTTTTTTTTCCTAATTGGAGTAGAATTAGAGGGAGAGAAAGAGGGGCTTACATATGATGTTTACGATAGAGCCAAAACTCGGGTTAGAGTAGTGGAAGGGGACTCGAGGTACTTTTCAGTAGTAATGGGGTTGCACAAGGGATCAACTCTTAGCCTATTCTTTTCGTCTTGGTGATTGATGGATATATGGTGTATGTTATTTAATTTGCGGATGACATAGTATTAATTAACGAGATGTGCGGCCGAGGTTGGATTTTTGGAGATAAACCTTGGAGTCTAAAGGCTTCAGGTTTAATAGGACTAAGACAGGGTACTTGGAATATAAGTTCAATGATATAACACATGAGATAGACGTGAAAGTTAAGATTGAGACAAAAGTCATCCCCAAGAGGAAAAGTTTCAAGTACTTGGATAAAAAATTTAAGGAAATGGTGAGATTGACGACGATGTCACACATCGTATTGGAGTGAGGTGGATGAAGTGGAAGCTCACATCCAGTGTCTTGTGCGATAAGAAGATGCCACTAAAACTTAAAGGTAAGTTCTATAAAATGATTGTTAGAGCAGCTATGTTGTATGAGGCGAAATGTTGGCCAGTTAAGAACTCTCATACTTAAAAGACGAAAGTAGCAGAAGTGAGGATATTGAGGTGGATATGTGGGGATACTAGTGGAGATATGATTGGGAACGAAGTTATTGGGGACAAGGTGAGAGTGGCTTCTGTGGACGACGAGATGAGGGAAGCGAGTTTGAGATGGTACGGACAGGGGCGAATGTTGTGTTCAAGCGCTCAATTGAACCCATAACTTTCGATGCGAAGTAAAAATGTATGTATAAAAATTTAATAAAATTGCAAAAATAGTAGATATGAACCCATAACTTTAAAACTATAATTGGTTCAATGCTAAAAACCTTGAAAGTTGAACCCATAAGATTTCAATCCTTGATCCGTCTTTGAGTACAGACATGTAAAAGGAGATGCACAAATTCTCCAGTGAGGAGGTGCGAGAAATTCGATATTGTGGGTATAAGGAGAGGTAGTAGTAGACAGAAGAAATATTGGGGAGAAGTGATTAGACGGGACATGACATGGCTCCAGCTTATCGAGGACATAACCCTATATAGGAAGATATGGAGATTGAAGATTAGGATAGAAGGTTAGTAGACTGTCTCTGCTTCATTTTTCCCATTTCAGTGTAGTAATCATTTGTATTTTTCTTATTATTAGATTTTCATTATTATCTGTTATTCCCCTTGCTCCAGTTTTCTTATTGGCTTTGTTATTTTGTTGTTGTTAATGTTCTTGTCTTTAGTATTTTAACATTACTATTTTGTTATCAAACCTGCTGAGAATTGATTTTCTTGAGCCGAGGGTCTTTCTGGAACAACCTCTCTACCTCCACAAGGTAGGGATAAGGTTTGTGTATACTTATCCTCTCCGTACCCCATAATTAAGAATACAATGTGTATGTTGTTGTTGTTGTAAAGTGAGAGAGGAGTTCCTAACTGTTGTGGAAAGATCATGGGTTAACTAGCACACAATCACACACAAAACAAATAGAAAAGCAGAGAGAGTTTTGCATTATGAATGAGAAGAAAAGCACAATACAATCTATTAGAATCCCCAACTACAACCCTTATATATAGATCCCACATAGTCCCAAACCTATAAGAGAAAGGTTTCCCAATTTGACAAGGACAATAGGTTTCTTTTCCCAAATCTATTAGGACAATGGGTTTTCCTAAACCTATAGGGATTATGAGTTTCCTAAAAATACAAGGAAATAATTCAAGCCACAAATAACAAATCTTCCCCTTGGCTTGATTTCTATTCATCAACAGGAACGTCTCTCTACCTTGCCCCCAGTCCTCGCAAGGCTCTACCCATTGCCGCACACATTAACCAAGTCTAGGCAACACCTAATCTTATTAAGAGACTCAATCTCTTTATCCATAGACTAATCCGTCGATTTGGTTTTGTACTCTGAATAGCTTCTGGATAGCTATAACACTAAAACGCATCAACGGTCTCTGCAACTGCTAAAGAAAATTCCATAAGATTTGTATATCCAAGAAGATTCCTATCAACTACGTTTGAAAACCTTTGCGGTTGGTTGATCACTCTCTTCTCTTTGCATGTTGCAATGCTATATGGTTGTTGTTGTGCAGGTGCATCAACATTATCATTTTGATCAATATTTTGTACCTCATCCACTTCCTCTACTTTAGAACTAGTGGGCTGAGCTAGTGGAGATTCAATTTCTAGCTCTATGTGGTCACTGACACCACGATCCGTTTCTGTTGTTGCCTTCTCCCTCTGACTATCTAGTGAGATAGATTCATTGAACGTTATATCCCTACTGATAATTAGCCCTGGAGTCCTTTGATATGTACACTACAAACTATAACCTTTCACTCCAGTTGCATACCCTAGAAATATGCACTTCTTTGCCCTTGCCTCAAGTTTTTCATCCCTCACATGAGCATAAGTAGGACAACCAAATATCCTTAGATTTGAATAATCAGCAGGCGAACCACACTATACCTCAAAAGGAGTTTTGAACTCAATAGCTGTGGATGGAGATCTGTTGACCAAATAATAAGCTGTATTAATTGCTTCAGCCCGAAAGTCCTTGCTAACACATGAGTGTGAAAGCATGCTTCGTGCCCTATCACAAAGCGTTCTGTACATACATTCTGTAATACCATTTTGTTGTGGTGTTCCGACACAACTGCGGTGTCTCACTATCAATC